GGAAGCTGTGATCAGACCTGGAAGCTCTTTCTCTCCTCATGGCGTCCACTCTCCCCAGGCCTCTGCACCTCCTGGCCGGGGCTCAGGCTAAAGAGGTTAGAGGTCAAAGTTACCACAACAACCAGAAGTCCTGTCTGGCAGGCTTTGTCCTTTCCTAACATCACATAAACACAATCTAAAGGCGAGCAGACACTGTACGAGTTTTTACCCTTTTAGGGCCGATTCTCCAGTCGTGCAAAACCTTTAGATCCTGGTCGTGCATCATGTGTCATGTAGTATACAGCAGGTAACAAGGGGCGATTAGCCTGCAACAAACACCTCTGGATTAGGAATCGTAAGGTCGGGAGAAAATCAATTCATTCGGCCCTCATGAGGTGTTTGTGAGCAGATCCTGCTGATGAAGCAGAGCTACGAGCTAATTTACCAGCACCTCGCACGTGCAAATAAGGGAGTTGTTTTTCTTCCAGAGTGACGAGTCCGACGTGTGGTTTTTGGCCGTACAGTATAACAAGATAAATCGTGAGTTGTGAAGTTTTAAACCTTATGGTTTTGTCGTCCACCATTGAAAATATCGTACAGTGTTTGCCAGGCTTTATTGGTCACCGATTAACTTCAACGACAAAAATGTCCAACATACCAAGGAGGATTTTCCCCTCCGCCACCGATGACCTAAAACACAAACAGGAGTCAGAGTCCAAACCAGATCATGGGGTCTCTGTGCTGGGAGCTGAGGGCAGCATCTCACCTGTGCAGGGGAGGAACCTGCTCCAGGGGGGGTGACCTTAGGGTCCACACACAGAGGACTGAGCTGCTCCAGAGGAACCCCCATCAGGAGCTGCTGCTGCAGCAGCTTATAGTCCCTCTCCAGTTTCTGCAGGATGTTCTTTGTTTCTGTAGGCAGGTCTTCGGCTCTGTAGAGAGAAAAACGTGATATTTACAATAGAATTCAACTTTATTGTCATTACACTGTCACAAATACAAAGCAACAAAATGTAGTTTGCATCTATTCAGAAGTTCTATACAGGATATTCTTTCAGAAAGACTTGAGTATTTTGTAGGAATTTAAGTAACAGCTCTAGACTGGTTTAAATTATTTCTATCTAACCGATTTCAGTTTGTTCATGTTAATGATAGATCTTCCTCATGCTCAAAGGTTACCTCTGGAGTACCACAGGGATCAGTGCTAGGACCAATTCTCTTTACTTTATATATGCTCCCAATTACGGAGCCCCCTAGGGGACATGGGGAATTTTTTTTTCTTTTGCGTTACCTCGCAAAATTTTGTGTTACCTCGCAAAACCTTTTGCGAAAGTTTTGCGTTCCGACACAAAACCTTTTGAGTGAGAACGCAAAACCTTACTTCGGTAAAGTGAGAAAGATATTCACAGATTAAGACTTCCGGGATCAATAACTCTTGTTGTTGAAACACAAAAGGCGCCTCTTTCATGTCCTGATAGCACAGACTACGTATTACAAGAATCAAAAAGCGTTATTTTCGAGAAAAACGAGCCGTTCTCCGAGCTGGATGTATTACATTGATCACTATGCACAGGCAGCGGCCAGGCGAGTGGTTAGGAACCGTCTGCAAATGGTAAAACAACAGCAAAACGTTGCAAATAAAAATCAATAACTCCACTGCCATAAAGTGCAGAGACTCCAAAATCACAACACACACCAAGGGGCTCTTGGTGATCGCACTACAACAGCTGGTTTGGAAAAATACACCTTTACTTATTTTTTAAAGATTTTTTTGTTATTATTAAGCATTAATATCGTCCTATTTTACCTCATAAAGAACTCCCATCTGCCTAGCATCTCTGTGTACTTCATTCACAAAAAGTTATAAAAAGGTGTATTTTTTTGTGGTTGAAAATCACCCACAACAATAAAAGCAGTTGCTTTTATTGTACAGTAGCTTACAGTGCTGTAAAGTGTCTTGAGATGACATCTGTTTTTAATTGGCGCCATATAAATATACTGAATTGAATTAAAATGAGGCTCGGGGTGTTTGGTTTGGTGCTTGCTAATGGCCGTATAACATTCTTTCATGGCTAGCTTGGCATTAGCATCCAGGGGAATATACAGAGGATGATAGAAGGTAATAAGGTTTACATTTGACCATTAAAACTCCACATTCTGTGCGCAGCGTCTCTCGGTAGTAGGGTCTGTGCACCAAGCTTTGTTAATATAAATGCACAAACCTCCACCTCTGGTCTTGCCAGAGTCATCTGCTATCCTGTGTGTGGCATCCCGTTAGCTCAATTGCACTGTCTGGACAGCTGAGCTGATGCTTAGCTATGTTTCCGTAACAAGCATGGATAGTTGCGATGGATAGTCGTAGCTCGTCCGTTTTGGAACATTGGTGATGAAAATGCTTGGTAAAGGGAGCAGAGGTGCTGTTAGCTTTAGCGTCGCTTGCATCCCTACATGCTTACACCATCTTTGTTTACATTCTCATCGCCGTCTGAGTGCATTTCCACCCAGGAGGGGTGGGCAACCTCCTGTGTTCTGAAGCTCTGGGATGAGTCAGAGATCAGTGATAAAGCTGTGAAAATGGTTGCTCCTAAGGTCCAAAAGGTGATGTCTGCAGTAGGACAGCAATGCAGCGCAGTTCTGAACAAAAAGTCCAATGAGAAGTAGATAGAAAACCACTAAATGGATTTTACTTTTAAGGCTAAGCTTCTAGTTAGAGTGGCTCAGGTTATCCTGAGCTATCTCTATAGTTCTGCTGCTATAGGCTTAGACTGCTGGAGGACATAGGGACCTCTCCTGTGGAACCAACTACCAGTTTTAGTCCGTGAGGCAGACACCCTGTCTACTTTTAAGGCTAGGCTTAAAACTTTCCTTTAAGATAAAGCTTCTAGTTAGAGTGGCTCAGGTTATCCTGAGCTATCTCTATAGTTATGCTGCTATAGGTTTAGACTGCTGGAGGACATAGGGACCCCTATTTCATCATTCTGCTTCATTCTATCTCTATTCTCCCACTCTGCAGAATCTGTTAGTTCAATCTCTAACGTTCTGCTTTCTCTGCTTTTTCTCATAGTAGCTTCATCTTCTGTTTTCGCTCAGGGTTCACAGTCATGCGGGTTCCAAGTTTCCCCATCTTCTTCT